TTGGCACATTTTTGTTGCACTTTGCACTACCTTATAATATAAACCTATTCAATACCTGTTTCCTCTAACATTTAATACGGTTTTAAATATGCTGCTATGTATTTTCACGTATTTTTCTTTTAAAAACAGTATCTGAATACAACATACAGAATTGACAGGTTGGAGTTGCTCATATTGAATATTAACATTAAATTGCTTTGGCTTTAATATATGCAAATAGATGGTTTAGCTTGCATGCACAAGAACAATGCATTCAGTATCTTTCAGTATGGGTTGTATCATCTCATGGAAGACTGACAATTTGAAACTTGTTTGCTTAAAAGAAATTAGACATCCTTGCGGGGACACCTCTCGTACCCAAGCATCAGCAGTCTGTTGGCTTGCAGTGATTCTCTGATCCAAGGGTGTTCTTACCCTGAATAGCTGTGATTGCTGCATGCATTATTTCCCCGTGTTCCTTTTCATTCAGCGTTATGCTGTCCAGCATAGGTGAAGGAGCATATAGTTTATTATGGTTTTGAACCCAGCCCAGTACACTTCAGAAGCAGACCTACTGTATTTTTTTGCATCTCTTTTAATTCCATTTTTTTTTCCTGATGAACCTGCTGATCCCCTTGAAAATTGAAATAATGATAAAGCCCGTCTCGTAGCCGCATCAAATGTATCAGCACATAAAGAGCCAGGAGGCATAAAATGCAAATGATAAAGTGAAAGCATATGGATTGTGCATGATCGCCTGACGTCCAATGAATTTTAAAAGGTGCTGTCTAGCATGGAAAGGGAGGAGGAGGTGGAGAGGGAATGAAGGGGCTGAAATAAACATATTATCCCTGCACATTTTTTTCTTTCATTCCTGACAATATTTTTTTACACCTCACTGAGCACTGGCTCGCCCCCCCTTCCCCCGTTCTCACTTCTCTTCTCTTGGCACACCTCACACACATCTCAGGTCATGTCACTGCAGCTCCAGTGGAAATAATAAGATATAAACCACAAGGTTGTTATTTGCATAGAAATAGCATGGGGGCCTCAGGCAGTAAAAGAGAAGGACACAGAGATGGTTTGGCTAATGAAAACTTTTGCTGATACAGATTTTTTTCTCCTGAGCCATAAAATGTACCTATGTCTGCATTCACCATTAGGATGCTGTACATTAACCTGCACTTTGACCCATTGGTGAGCTTAACAACAAATAAAAAATAATATATGTGTATATACATGTATGTGTAATATTGCCAGGGCTTTTGATGATATTATTATACAGGATTTATATAGCACCAACAGTTTGCTCAACGCTTTACAATATAACGGGAGACAATACAGCAACAATACAGTTCAATACAAGAGGGTTAGGAAGGCCCTGCTCCCTTGGAGCTTACGATCTAAAAGATGGTAATGTGTAAGCAAATACCTCAACCATACAATTGCTCATAAATACAAATTATGTTTATCATTTGAAATGACAATTTTTTTACACTTTTTTTTCTCACACTTTATGTTAAGTTTTTCATTAACATAGACCACTATACATAAAACAGAAAAAGTGATTGGATGTGAGTTGTGAAAGAGCTACTAATAACATACTACTTGTGATGTAAAAGTAACAGGCTTATAAAGATAATAAGGCTTTTAATTTGTCAGCCTCATGGCCACCATGTAAGGTGAAAGGAAGTTGGAAGTTTTCTTTTCGTTGGAATTACTGAACTCAGGACATCAGCTCTTACTGTTCCCTACTATATCACTTTTATTTTATATTTTCGATTATGTTCTGATAATTTCATCTATCTGTAAATGTAAATTGAAACCCCTTTCACAAAAAACAATAGTTACTGTAAAGGCCTTTATAAATAGAAACAATGAAAGGTGTGCCTCATGTAAAGAAGACATTTAGGCTAGGTTCACATATATGTGGCCCATGCGGGCCACGATTTGAACAGGCATGGGAGCCCATTCATTTGAATGGACTCCCGTGTCCTGGGACACGCAGGGAAGAAGTCCCTGCACTTCTTCGGATATCGCAGCCCGCACGGGAACCTCAGTTCCCGGTACGGTTGCTATTTCCAGTGCAGGCGGCGTGCCATTAGAATTAATGACACCCGACCACGGGTCCGCATTTCTCTGTGTGGGTGGCTTGGCTGCATGTATTTGTGTGGGTCCCGCAGCGGCACCACCTGCACAGATGTGAACCAAGCCTAAATAGTCATCCTGCAATATGCTCGTGCCATCACTTGCTACTTTATTGATGAAAAAACATCCCTTTAAGATTCTTCGAAAACTGACCTGTTGATTGACCCCCTGCTGCATGTCAGGGTTCCTCCCAAAAACTTTAACATGACTATAGGACACCTTAGTGAACAATGAGCTGGCAGAAGGAACCAAAGCATGCAACAGGGCACAGGGGTATAGCCACTACCAGAATGTCGATTTCTAAAGTATATTCATTGGAAGTTTTCTCAGCAATAATGCAGTGGTCATCAGCACAGGCAGTAGGTAAGGTATTTAATTTACTCTTTACAGGAGTCATACCTTACCTTCTATTTATTTACACAACAGAGAATCGTATATGAACATAACAAGATGTGTAAGTAATGTGTAACAACTAAAATCACTTTTGGATAAAAGGCTGTATAAGGTTTAAAATGATGCTTGTCCTGCAAGTGTTAAATTAGTTGCACAAGAAAGAATACTTTAATGAACATTGTATCATACTGTAGCATAAAATAACCAACATTTAGAAAGCAGGAATGATTCATTTACATTCATAATTCTGAGACATACAATACATAGAACTCAAAAATACAACTACAAAGTGTACCAATGATTTAATGTAAGAGAGACTGTAACTATTTTTGATACATAAGAACTCTGGTAAATTTAAAAAAAGAATGTGTATAAAATCAAGCACATGCATACTGCTTATACATACATTTGTGAAAGAATGGGTCGCTCTTAGGAGCTCAGTGAATTCAAGCGTGTTACTGTGATAGGTTGCCACCTGTGCAATAAGTCCATCCGTGAAATTTCCTTGCTACTAAGTATTCTACAGTCAACTGTTAGTGATATTATAACAAAGTGGAAGCAACTGGGAACAGCAACTCAGCCACAAAGTGGGTAGTAACAGAGCGGGGTCAGCGAATGCTGAAGCACACATTGCACAGAAGTCACCAACTGTCTGCAGAGTCAATAGCTAAAGACCTCCAAATGTTGTGTGACCTTCAGATTAGAACAACAGTGCATAGAGAGTTTCATGGAATGGGTGTCCATGGCCAAGCAGCTGCATCCACACCTTACATCACCAAATGCAATGCAAAGTGTTGGATGCAGTGGTGTAAAGCACGCCATCACTGGACTCTAGAGCAGTGGTGACGTGCTCTCTGGAGTGACGAATTACGCTTCTCTCTCTGGCAGTCTGATGGATGTGTCTGGGTTTGGCAATTGCCAGGAGAACGGTACTTGCCTGACTGCATTGTGCCAAGTGTAAAGTTTGGTGGAGGGGGGATTATGGTGTGAGGTTGTTTTTCAGGGGTTGGACTTGGCCCCTTAGTTCCAGTGAAGGGAACTTTTAAGGTGTCAGTATACCAGACATTTTGGACAATTTCATGCTCCCAACTTTGTGGGAACAGTTTGGGGATGGCCCCTACCAGCTCCAACATGACTGCACACCCAGGCACAAAGCAAGGTCCATAAAGACATGGATGAGCGAGTTTAGGGTGGAGGAACTTGACTGGCCTGCACAGAGTCTTGACCTCAACCTGATAGAACACCTTTGGGACGAATTAGAGCGGAGACTGTGAGCCAGGCCTTCTTGTCCGACATCAGTACCTGACCTCACAGATGCTTTTCTGGAAGAATGGTCAAACATTTCCATAGACACACTCCTAAACCTTGTGGACAGCCTTCCTAGAAGAGTTGAAGCTGTTATAGCTGTGAAGGGTGGGCCAACTCAATATTGAAACCTACAGACTAAGACTGAGATACCATTAAAGTTCCTTTGCATGTAAAGACAGGAGTCCCAATACATATATATATATATATATATATATATATATATATATATATATATATAAAATAACTCCATTGGGTTGCCACTGCACACATATTGGAGATTTTAAAAATGGGCTTTGTTACATGTCACTATAAGGGCATTTATGTGCAAGAGATGAATAATTAGTAATTGTATTGTGTGTCAACATAGCGGCAGGCATATTCAGTCATACTATACACAGGTTCTGCTTTGCAGTGCTTTAGTGCTATTTTAAAAGTGTGAATCAGCTAACTCCTTAACAACAAGGTTATCTTGTGTATCTTATCTTAAATGATGTTAAGCTGGCCATTGATAGCATATATTTCACTCAGCCTGCAGCACTGACTGTCAAAATACCCGGTCAGCGGCTGCATCTGAGTAGCCGCGTCTGCTTTTCAGGTGGTAATTTTCCACCTGGCTCCTCCGGTTCTTCAATCAAGGGATGTCAACGGGAGGCATACAACAGAGCCACCCACCGATCTAATGTTGTATGGTTCCTCAGGACAGCCCATTCTTTAGAAAGCAGATTAAACGAGGCTTAGTCAAATACTGAGTTACCTTTCAAATGGTTAATCAAATTTTTTTCATTTATTGAATAAAATTTAAACAAAATATGGTAACGCAAGCATTTTAAAACCTAAAAGCCAGTTAAAATGTACTTTAAGGATAGCTTATATTTTATTATAGTAATCCTATAAAAGCAGGATTCCCTCCCCCTACTTACTTTTTCTGGATCAGTAGAGATATTCACTGTGGGGTCGCTGAGTGCTGCACAGCCTATTTGCAAAAAGGCTCCCGTCCTACCAGTAGATTTCATACCTATGGGAAGCCTAGCAGCCCAACAACAAATGACTCTGTGGATCATAGATAGGTAAAGAAGGACTTGGGCAACTTGCTGCAGGGGTGTGGAAATTTTTGAAAAAACTACTTGTCTGGGGTCTAAATCCGTTTCCCAATCGGGCAGACTGACAACTGATGGGGCCCCTGGGCAATAGGGGATCATGGGGCTCCTGTGTCCTTGCCCAAACTCAAAAAAGCCTATGAAAAAGGTACCAGGGGCATCTCATGGGGCCCCCTACTGACCCCGGACCTCCTCGGGCAGTGCCCGAGTTTCCAAATGGTCAGTCCGCCCCTGGTCCCAATCTACTTGTCCCTCATGAACATCCCTGTTGCTGTTTGAGAGACACCATACATTTTAGGAGTAACTGTACTAAAAATTCAGTTATGCTTTAAGATAAACACTGAATAAATCAGCATATGTGCTTATAAAAATACATTGAAAAATATACTAGTTTACTAGATACGTTGAAAAAATTACTAGTTCTGAAGGAACTATTGCTCCAGATTCCGCAAACCTCTCTTTCACTTGGACCACATGACCATAAGCTGGCATTTTTTCACACGACTGGATGCCACTGGGGTCCAAAACAACAATTTTTTTCAGGATATGTAACTTTTTTATAATTCCCAATTTGTTTGCTTCAGCAACAGTGCATTTAACTTAACATGTAAATGTCACTGCTTTACCAAATGCAAAAATGTGTGTATTATTATAGCAATGCCTGGTGTATATACCAATTTAGAACATTGCCTAAACAAAATATAGGTTTTAAATAAATAGTAATACAAGAAAAAATAATATACTGTGTGCTCTTTTGGCATCATTGTTCATTTGAAAACATTAAAGCATCTGCTTCCATAAAATAAAAATGGTGATAGGAGTCCATGTATTGTGATACCATCATTAACAATGGCCTGAGTCATGTCATATCTTCACTTGATGCACATGCATTCTTGGAAGACAAGGAGGTAAAGAGAGCTGATGTGAATCAATATGATGTAAATGTATGGTTCGGCCATGATGCCTAGCTTCATGAATTTACTGACGGATGTGTACTACACTCTTTCAATGTTTCAAAGGGATTTCATTTGCAGAATCTCTCACAATGTTCTGCCACTCCAGTACAATGTTTGCAGAGCACTGAGAAAAGAAAGCATGGATTTATCTTGATCTCAGTAGAAAGATTTAGAGTAAGAAGAAAAAAAAAAAAGCTCTGACAGTATATTAAACTACGTCCATTGTCTGTCAGCCGGTTAAGTTTGAACTGTCAGGCCTAGGAAGAGATAAGCAGCATCACATTGTGTATGAAGGCAATTTTGTATTCTTATTTTCATTCAATTGTAAAGTTTGTTTTTTTTTTCCCCCTTTTTGACCTTTGAAAACTTTTTTTTTTAACGTTTATCAGTTACAGATTGTCTAATAAATACTGTATGTGTGTGTGTGTAAATCTGTTTTATTTTTATAAATTCTATTCTAAAAATTGCCCAAAACTTGTATACAAGCCAGCAGGTGGAACCTGCCTTTTAGTTAGACAAAGTCATAGGTTTTCATTTTACACCATTACAACCTTCTAGCCCCCGGAATCCTGACAACCAATGACATCAGTTGATATGGAGGATGTTGGTTGCCTGCACAGCATCCTATATTGACCCTCCCCTCCCCCTCTCCATCAGTGCTGGGGTCTCATTAGCTCAGTGATGGAGAAAAAAATTGAGGGAGAAGAGAAACACTGGAATACTAGTCAGTACCAGTGTGCAAAAGTGTATTTGCTTTGGAAAATAAATCGCCTCCAATGTTGGGTGTCCTACATGTGTGGATGTTTCTGTGTTATATAGAACTATTAGAATAGTTTTTCACATTATAGAATGGGGTGCCCTTTTAAAATTATGGACAGTCTTTAGGCACCCCTGTTTAGAATGGGGTGCATCAAGACTCTCCATAATTTTAAAGGGTGCCTCTGGAATGTCCATAATTTTAAAGTGTGCCTTGACTGAAAAAAGGTTGAGAAACACTGATCTAAACTTCACTGATCTCTCCAAAATGTTTTTAAAAATCCATTTTTGATTAACTGTTTTTTTCAGGGATGGCTTTATATTCCTTGAAAAACTATATAATCATTAGCAAACATTTACATGTTTTTGTGGCCAAAGAAAAACTGTAAACACAGTAATATACAGTAAACACAGTGTCTATCTAGAGATTCTAAATGCAGTTTTCAGTCTGAATATTTTTAGTAAGTTCAGAGATAATTCAAACATTTCCATCATCATACTATTAAGAAACTAAATATATTGTTTACAACATTTTTGTTTCACTCACTCCAATCTGTAATTTCTGGCTGTTTAGAATAACAGAAATGCATATAATAATCATGACCATACTTGCAGCTTTGTTTTAAAGTGATATGAAATGCATTAAAAAAAAACGAAACCCATTTCATTCTTGCCTGCTCCGTTCAATGGTTTTGCATAGAACAGCCCCAATCCTCCTCTTCTCAGGTCCCCTGCTGGCTCTCCTGGTCCCTCCCAAGTCGCTGCTCTGCATGTCCATTCACACGCAGAGCGTAGCTCAGCTGCCGCTATCTCCTCGTTGGCTCGCTGGCTATGATTGACAGTAGTGGGAGCCAATGAACAGGAAGAGTTCTGGGAGATCTGCTACTCTTGTGCACATCGCTGGATCGAGAGGGGGCTTAGGTAAGTATTAGGGGAGGTGGGAGGGCTGCTGCACACAAAAGGTTTTTTACCTTCATGCATAGAATGCATGAAGGTAAAAAAACTTTGCGCCTTTACAACCACTTTTAATGTCCAAGATCAACTGAAGTTCAGCAGTACACATCATATAGGTGGAGGAAACAGGACTCTGCAACACCGCTAAGAACATTAAAAAAAACTGCCTCAAATGTGTTTCATAATGCTAAACTAGAAAAGCTACAATTTCTGGGGAAATTGTGTGAAGTGTCCTTGCTTCCACCAGTAGTTTACAACTCACACTCTAGCTTTTGTCACTCTGCTGCCTGCTCACACACCTGGGTTGCTATGGCAACTCACTCTACAGCAAGGGCAGAGAAGAGCGGTTAAAAACAAACTGCTCCAACTTGCTCACTTCACTGGCGGTTGCCATCTTCAAACGGCAAACTGTTGTAGTTTAAAAATTATAAATCCTACACCGAAGAGCTTTATATTGTGAGAATCACAAGACCCAGACCTACATTTTAATGCATAGTATGTCTCTGAAATATGAAAAATGAAGGCACAGTCGCAGTTTAGAAATTGCCCTTTAAATTTGAGGTGGCTAGAGTGGAGTTTCAATGAATGTCAATGGGCGGCGTGAGTTGCAAACAAATGGTCATATTGTGAAAACTATCAGGACTATGGCTTAGCCGTGGACATTTTTAGTGGCAGCAGGGATAGCTGAACGTTTTGATATAAGATTTGTGTAGGTGGGCTTGAAAATGAGGGAGTGATGCCAGTTTAGAAATCATGTCCTGATTTTTCAGCTCCCACTCTAGTTTTGAACATTCCGCTATTCATTCCTATGGGACCAATTTCACCACAAAACCGCCAATATTTCGTGAACCATTCGAGCGAAACGTTCCACAAAGTAATAGCACACCAATCGGGAACAATCCGCACGTTTCGGTATACTACTGTCTATGTAGTGTAAAAACTGTGGGAGGAGTTAGGGTGGTAAATTTGGCTATAATAATAAGAATATATATGTGAGATAACAGTAAGTGGTCTTGCCATGCAAGAACACTTAATAATACAACCCTGGCCAAAGGTTTTGAGAATGACACAAATATTAATTTTCACAAAGTCTGATGCTTCAGTGGTTTTAGATCTTTTTGTCAGGTGTTACTATGGTATACTGAAGTATAATTACAAGCATTTCATAAGTGTCAAAGGCTTTTATTGACAATTACATTACATTTATGCAAAAAGCCAATATTTGTAGTGTTCTTCTTTTTCAAGTCATCTGCAAGTCGCCCTGGAATGCTGTCAGTCAATCTCTGGGCCACATCCTGACTGATGGCAGCCCATTCTTGCATAATCAATTCTTGGAGTTTGTCAGAATGTGTGGGTTTTTTTTTTGTTCTGTTCTTGAGGATTGACCAATAGGTCTCAATGAGATTAAAGTGATTCTAAAGGCCTAAATTATAAAAAAAAATGTTATACTTACCTGCTATGTGCAGTGGTTTTGCACAGAACAGCCCAGATCCTCTACTTTTCAGGTCCCCCGCCGGTGCTTCTGGCTCCTCCTTCCTGTCAAGTTCCACACAGCACTTTGAGGGCACTCGAGCATGCGTACTCCCCAGCCGCTGCTTCTTGTGTGTCTCTCCTCTCATTGGCTCACTGGCAGTGACTGATAGCAGCAAGAGCCAGTGGCTCCCATTGCTGTCTTAGCCAATTAGAAGAGGGAGTCCCAGGATAGCCAAGACCCCAATGCACAACACTGGATCGAGAGAGGGCTTAGGTGAGTATTAGGGGGGGGGCTGGAGAATATGCTGCAGAGAGAAGGTATTTTATCTTCATGCATAGAATGCATAAAGGTAAAAAAGCCTTCAGCCTTCACAACCACTTTAAGGTCTGGGGAATTTCCTTGCCATGGCCCCAAAATTTAGATGTTTTGTTCCCCAGGCCACTTAGTTATCACTTTTTCCTTATGGCAAGGTGCTCCATCATGCTGGAAAAGGCATTGTTTGTCACCAACCTGTTCTTGGATGGTTGAGAGAAGTTGCTCTCAGAGGATGTTTTTGTACCATTCTTTATTCGTGGCTGTGATCTTAGGCAAAATTGTGAATGAGTCCACTCCCTTGGCTGAGAAGCAACCCCACATATGAATGGTCTCAGGATGCTTTACTGTTGGCATGACACAGGACTGATGGTAGCGCTCACCTTTTCTTCTGCGGACAAGGTTTTTTCCAGATGCCCCAAGCTATTGGAAAGGGGATTCACCAGAGAAAATGACTTTACCCCAGTCCTCAGCAGTCCAATCCATGTACCCTTTGCAGAATATCAGTCTGTCCCTTCTTGACACCAGGCCATCCTCCCTGTGCGTTCAGATGCACTCACACCTGCCTGCAGCCATTCCTGAGCAAGCTCTGCACTGGTGGTGCCCCAATCCCGCAGCTGAATCAACTTTAGAAGACGGACCTGGCACTTGCTGGACTTTCTGGGGGCCATGAAGCCTTCTTCACAACAACTGAACCTCTCTCCTTGAAATTCTTTTTGATCCAATAAATGGTTGATTTAGGTGCAACTTAGCACAATCCCTTTTTGTGCAAAGCAATGATG